GTAGGACTATAGCTCGACTCGTGTCCAATCTTAGACAAGTTATTTGTGGCCCGTTTGGTGTGATTTGTAGTAATAGTGACATAGCAATCGACGATTATAGTGACAAGCTATTGAATTTATGCAAAACGGGTGATCTTTAATAGGATCGTCAACGGTCGTAAAATTATGGGTCATTTGCACAACCCACAGTGGAGCTAGCATTGTTGGTTATGTAATTTTAGCACTATTTCTGAATTCCATGCTGGTTGTAGAATACAGCGGCCAATCGCAATGGTTGTGCGGGCTGGTCTGACATAGATAGTAAACTCGAAAAGTTAGCATTCCGGCCCGAATAAACTACGACGATATCATTATGTAAGAGCACCAGGGAATAAGAAAAAAATGCAAAATGTTGATTTCGAAAAAAAGAAATAATCCCACCAAACAAGCCAGATAAAAAGGCTGCTATTGACAACCATGTCAAATCTGTCAAAACAACCAGTTAAATTGAATGGTTCGACTACTTGAATCCTGTATGATGGCAAATCAAACTATGACGCGTTAATAAATCTTCAGTTCGGGCCGTAATTTCAGCTTATAGTTGAAGACCAAAACACCGATTTCATTAACTCCAATTCCCAAAGAAGAATTCGTATAACACGATTGAAATCCGGCAAGATAACTGTATGTTATAAATGCCAATACAAAATTGATTTGTTACATCCAATTGTTAAAGAGTATTTTGGAATTGGACAATTTTCCAATACAATGTTGAGAGGGCATATTATTTCCAATCCTCGGGGGCGGAGCTACGTCACAAGACGTTCCACGTTGCTACGACGCGCACCACTGTACACAGTGGCGGATCCAGAGGGGGCCAGGGAGGCCATGCCCCCCCCCCCAAACGCATGACGATTCATATCATCTGGATTACGCATAGCTTCTCTGCGATTTTCGATTTTGCTGGATCCGCCACTGACTTTACATGCATTTCTATGGGCTCTGTGCGCGCTGCTGTGGAACGACGGTCGAGTCGGTGAAAATTCGAGAAAACAACACAAACTCAACTTGGAAGTAATCCCGAACAACCAAATTTATATATGTTACACACGTAGGGCTAATCTTGTTACACTGTTCAGAGGAGTATCAACAACCATCCCAAAGTATCGTTTTCTGCGAGTTTTGGGTCTTTGTTTTCACCGCCGCGGGTTGCCAGGAGGTGAAAATGCCCGGATGTCCGCCCCCGAGGATACAGGTTTAAAAACAGTATTTTTTAAATAAATGTTGCTACATTGAAATTAACCGTGTCCTTCACTGGCGGAACCAGAAATTCGGTAGAGGGCGCTCCCATTGACGTGGCCAAAGTAGACCTCCGGTGGGATGGGTTTGTCAATTGATTTGTATTTTTTTTGCAGGCTGGAGGGGGGGGG